ATTCTCCAATTCGTTCTCGATGTCGAAAGGAAATTAAGGAATTTTCGCGAGAAATTATGCGCATAATCCGTCGAGATGCACGTGCCCAGGATAGTTGTTTGCGTTTCACGTGGTCGTTGGAAGGTTTTTCGGCTCCACTATCGTGGAAAAACAAGCGGTTGACGAGTTGGAATGGAGCCGTGGTGGCCGTTTGTTTGCGCGACGCATCGTTGAAAAAGAAAAAAAAAGAAAAAAAAAAAATATGCAAATCGAGCGAAGACGCCCAGTTTTTCTTGGTTCCGAACGTGGTAAGGAAACGTTTGGCAACCGGTGAATCCTGGTCTCTCTCTCTTTCTCTCATGTTCGTTTCATTCTCCCCTTTCTTTCCTCCTCTTCCTCCTTTCTCTTTTTCCTTTAGTCTCTTTTCAGGCCACGTTACCCGACGGAGCGTCGACCTAATCTCCATTTTCCAGCGTCACACCAGCGTGTCCTTTTCAAGATCGTGAATTATGGACCGGCACGAAAAGCTGCTACACACACATCCGCCACGCGGACCTAACTAAATGGTAATCGAGGACGATTTATCTTCGGGCTCGATCGAGCTTACCCCCGACCCCATCCCCCTCCGCTACCATTTCACGTCATTGTTCGATCCGTGTAAGAGGCACCTGCCACTTGTTGAACTCGTGAAAAACAGAGAACTCTCGCAGTCCCGTGGAGAAAATCGCGTATCTATAGCGGGGTTGAAATCGAGAATCTCAAATCAATGTGCACGATCATTTTCTCAAAAGATTTGTTCGAGAAAATTACTTTCGCTGTTCTCTCGACACAGTTCGTAAAAAAAAAGTCACTCTCCACCTTTGCTTTTTCCAAAATTTCTATTACTTCCTAATCAAAATTGCGAATGTCTCACCTTCGCAATTCCATACATCGTATTCCTCTCGTATAACTCTCTCATCGATCGTCCAAATATTCTAGCGAGCAAACTACTCCAAGACTCTATACAATCACTGAATGAGAATTCAATATCGTTTCGTTCATCGCGACGAAAGAAATATTCAATGAGGAGAGGAAAAAGAATAATTCCCAACAGTGACACATATTTTACCCGTGGCGCATCGTGTATTCATCCATTCAATCGCATCTCGAGAGCCCCGCGGCGCAAAGAAGAGAGAAAAAGAAGGCATTTTATTTTCGATAATTGGCAATAGTCGATGATCGTTCAACGATCCAACGATATTAATCAATATCGCGGGGCGGTGAAAAGTTTCTATCCAGGTATTTTAACGATCTTCCGGGAAAGTCGCGATCTTATTAAGCTCGAGGGGTCTTATTAAAATTTCTTCGCGAGCCGCTCCGGGAAACGACATCAATCGGGAATAAGAGAGTCGAGTAAAAAAAGGTCCGGATGTTTAATTCTGGATAATTGATACCGCGTATACGCAAACCTCGAAGACCTCGAGTTTTAAATTACCACGTTTCTTCAACTCGTTGCTCTCTTGAAAGCCGTTCCTCATTGTCCAACACCTTCCAGATCGCCATATATTCAACCTCTTTCTTCTATTTCTCTTCTCTTGATTCAGTTGCTTTAAGAAATATTCTTTAATTTAATTTTTTTGCAATTATTTGTGCAAGATGTTTCTTCATAAAATAAGTAAAAATTTTGGTATCATCTTATTATACTTGTAAGATAATCGACTCTATTCTGTTTCGTTATACAATGAACTTATCTTCTTAACACATCCATCTCCATTTCTCTTCGACAGAAAGAATAGAAAAGAATCCACTCCAGAAATCGCTTATTCGCGATTACTTGGCCATTGATTTAAGAGCCATTTAAGATTCCGTCTATTCGAAGAATGCGACAACAGGGAACGACGGAAAGTTTGCTGAACTGGTGGAGGAAAATTTATGAGATTTATACGTCCGTTTCGGGAAATATTGTTTCTCGCAACGGTTGACACGAGAGTCGCGGAGATCGATAGACTTGAAAAATTATTCCGCGAGTCCGTCATATTTCGGAAGGGCTACTACTTTTGGCCCCCAAGGAGAAAAATGTGCCACGTGTCAGTCCAATTTCCAAGGGGCTGAAAATCGTTTTACTCGATCGTGCGTGAACACTGGCTCGTTTCGAATCCATTCGTCACAATCCTCCGTGTCTAAATTATTCCCGTATTTTGACGTGTTGAAAACACGTCTCTATGAGCCTCGATGAATTTTTTATTTTACCATTTCCTTTGATTCAATTTAAGGGAAACAATAATCTGTGAATGGAGGTATCAATCGTTGCAAACGATTCGTTGTGCAAGGCCTCGTTTTATAAACCGATAAATGATAAGTTACAGTGTATTATATAAATACAAGGTTAATATAATTAAAATTTAGTATAATAATGTTCGAATGCAACAATATCTATGTACACGTGGACGGATGTCCATTGGAAGTGGATGCAGAGGAAGTCGATGATTAAATAACAAATTTCAGGCAACAATGTAACAACTAAAGACATTAAGTACAGAAAAGAAAAGAATCGTCCTCTCTTTTCAAAGATGCATCTTAAAAGGGAAATTGTGGGAAAAACGGAATACAATGATCGGACAATAATAAATGAAAATATCGGTTGGAAAAATATTCGCTTGCAGTTGTCCATCAAGTTGCACGATCCTTTGTGCGTATGTAGGGAACGGAAGTTATTTGTTGCAAAATTCTATCGATGCCATGTACGGAATAAACGTAGAAATAGATACGTCTCGAGGCCGCCTATTACCGGTTCTCGAGATATCGGCCGTTTTGCATGCAAGGTCGTACAAAGAATTACATATTGGCTTAGAGGAGCCGAATGTCTTCGAGTTAATTTTCAATTAAGACACGCGATGCTGCATCTTCGACGAGTGTCTTCAATCGAGTTCGCGGCACGAATATTAATACCGCGTATCAATTGTACTTTGAAATTTGTTAAAAAATTTTTTATTAACATTCGAAGAAAAATTTGCTCGATTGGTATCCTTCAAACATCTTAAAACTTTTCTAAAAAAAAAAAAAAGAAAAAAAAACAGAATCGAAAAATCTAGCACATTTTTTTGAAAGAGATTTTAAAAAGGGACGTTTCATACCAGGTTGTTCGTGACCAGCTTCTAGATATTCTACGTGCATAAACTTCTACATCACGAGTTAACCCTTTCTGGACGATGTAAACAACTATTTTACTTAACATGTTCATCTCGCTACGCTGCAAAACTATGTTCCGTGAAAATTTTGTTTGCCTTGCCGTCAAAATCTCGAGATTTGTCGACGACCATCGTATTTGATTTCGTCGAGGAAACACGATTTCTTTCTTTCTTCCTGTATTTCTAAGATAAAGAAAGATTGAAATATATTTCGAAGGAAAATCATATTTTCACAAAAGAAAAAAAAAAAGAAAAATTGTCGTTCTTGAGGAATAAAGCGAAGTAAAAACATTTTTTGCAGACATATAATAAGAATAATTTTGGAATCTATAATATGTATGGAAATATAACCATAAAGATAAAGATAATAAATTCTTTAAATAACTTTACGTTTTTAACACACCGTTTTTTATGCTAAACGATCGAAAAATAACATCCAGAAAATGGCCAGAATATCAACGCTAGTAAAATATTTCCTCATAACTAAATATTAATGTTATATAAATTATATCTCGAGTGTTTTGTACATTTCTCTAACATCGTAAAACGCTTTTTTCCCTTTTTAAACTGATACTTACGATTAAAAATCTCTTCGTGTAAATGTGGTACGTAAATTTTTAGTTTAAACTCGTGTCAGGGATGGCCAAGAGCAACAGGATGTAGGAAAACGTCCATCGCTGAAGCGTGACCGTTGGCCACCGCAAATTACGATTATTCCCGCTGTTTCCACCGAATCGTCAAATCGTAAACGTTGTTTACAGGATATGACGTAACGAGAACTCCCATTATTCCCGGCGATATTACCAATTACCCCCCCCCCCCCCC